TCTTAGGTGGAGCATGTAGGGAGCTGCAGAAGGGATGTGAGAGAAGGAATGACAGTAAAATAAGCGAACTGGTTCAGTGCCTGTGAAAATGCAGAAGTTCTAGGACTGATTTCAGAAAGTTGTCCAGCTATCATGAGAAACCCACTGCCAACAGAGTTCAGGCAGAACTCCAGTGTATACTCTAGAAGCAGGGTAAATTCATGAAACATCTGGGTCCTGGTTTCAACCCACATTTATCCCACTGTCTCCTAAGCCTCATTTGATAAAACTTGAACAATCACATAAGAAGTTCATTGGGTAACTGTAACTCCAGAGAGGGATTCCAGGGCATTACTGATGCCTTTGAAACATGTGGTGACTAAGGAAGAAGTTATTTTTGGTGGTGTTGTATGGTGGTGACAGCCTATTTCAGAAACCTGCATCCAGTTACCCTCCTGCCAGCAGTTCCTGCTAACATTAACTGCAGGCACAGCACACCTTCATTTTGCAGTGGGATACAGCCATTTTTCCCCCTTTTGATACTGAATGAGGATTGTTTAGAAGACCACAGCCATGTGACAAGCCTCCAAATTAGACTAGATTACCTTGAAGATAAGTTCCAATTTGAAGTTACGTTGTTCTGATGTGTCAGCAAGTACTATCATATAGATACTATCGATACTATCAAGTAATAAAATCTTTATAACACATCATATAAACTATGTAGATAAAGGGGATATGACTATTATTTTTTGGTCAGAAAAGTCAGAAGGGGTAGTTACAACGATTCCTGACTTTAGGAATGTCAGATACTAATTTATTAGAATAATACTTACAGTGTGTTAGGGACTTTCAATATAAGTATGTCGAAAAAATATATAGAGGTAGTATCTTTAACTCAGTTTGCTTTTACCAGAAGACTGCAGATAAGGCTGAATTATAATCTTGTTTTAGCAATTTTTAAAAACTTCTCTGTAATAGACCAAAACTGTTGAGGTACAAAATGTTCCATAGTGGCTTTTAGTCCAAATATGATATTTCAAAGGAAGCTTAACAGGTTTGTGTGACCCAGAGTGATGGGAGCCAGTCATTTTTCTACTGTGCACTTCCAAATTTTATATGTCAAAAGTGGCATAACAAAAATCTTCAAGTCTTTTGTTGAAGTCATTACTAAAACTTAAAAAAAAGATACCTTCCTGTTTCTACTGTCAGTCCCCATTACCATTGTTTTGCATACAATTGATAAAATAAATGTAAGATAACTATTAAAAGAAAGAATCCTGAAGAAAGAAAAGAACAATTAGATTCAAAAGAAGTCGCTAGTATCAGTCTTACTGTATGTTATGTAAGTTATGTTAGTATATCCATTAATGGCCTTTTATTAAAGGTGGGTAGTGTACTAGCGAAACTTGTTGAGCTGGAAAACATTTGAGATCCTAGTAAAATTGGGGTAAGTGGAGTACTAGGATGATAAGAATAAGAAAAAGTCCGTCACTTCAGAATTGTCTTAACAGAGTTTGGCATGGCTTAGCCTGATTGCTTTAGTCTAACTAAAACAAACAAACAAAAAGGTGCTCACTAAAGAAATTTGGGATAAACTCAGAGAAAGAAGGGGCAGTTCTGGCACAAGTACAGATTTAATACAACAATGAATTAATTTAAACTATAAATTAAAAGAAAAATTTTACATACTAGGGAGTAAACTGCCTGCTAAAATAACAAAGACAAGCACTTCATAGAGTGCTATCAGTTCTAAAAATCTGAAATGATAACAGAAATATCCCTTCCAGTTCCTTGTTTGAGTGCTTTTGAGTTTAGGAGTGCAGATTTAATTTGCTTAGGTGTTAGATTCTGAAAAGCCAATGTGTAGTACAAAGTTCAGAGAATTTATACTGAGCCTTAAGCTTGCAGAAAAAATGTTCAGTTAAGCCAGACTAGACATGTACCACTAACTCTGTTAGCATGGCCTTCGTTTTTCTCCTAATATGCATAATGAAGTGTAACTCAGATCACGATCGCAATGAACATTTTTTGGTGGCTATATGTACCTTTTGTGGATACTCCCCCAGCAGCTTGTTTCCTTCTCCATGCCAATACTTCCACTCTGCCAACACAGGTATTGGTGTGATCATCTGAGTAACTGGATCACAGCACCAATTAAGCTGAAAAACAGCTTTATATTTTGGGGTATTTTTAATTCAGATCAGGCCCTTGCTCTGGTTGCTGTGTTACTGCATAAACACTTGTGCCACCACAAGGCAAGAGGTGACTCTTGAACAATTTAAACAGTGCCTTCATATCCTCAGGCTGCTCTCAATCACTGCATGGTTTGCAGACATCTCTAGACCAATGAAAGGGCTAAATGTTGTTCATTGTGCTGGTGCCCTTGGTCTTCTCATCCTCTTGTACCTCCTGCTGTACTAGCAGGGTATGACCACGTCCTGAGACAGTTCAGGGAACAAAATCAGCTGAAAACTGGTAAAACCACCTGAAAACTAATCAGTTATTTTTTTCTTACTTTTTTTTGGGGGGGTGAGTTTAGTTTTCTGTCTTTTTAGTTGTCCAAAACCAGACCTCAGCAGTCCTATTGAGATAACAGTCAGAGATCAGGAACACCAGTCAGGGGCAGCAGAACCAACCACTTCTTACAGAAGCTATGCCAGCTTGAACCAGTTAATTATCTTGCTCACTGGAGGTCCAAACAGACTGAAGGTTTTCCTGATAACAGTGCTTTGGCAGGAAATAATGCAAGTTTCCTTTATGCAAGTCCCCAAAATACTAGTTTTCTGAAGGATTTGAGTCTTCCTCAAATAGTAGTAGGATCTTTTTTTTTTTTTTTTTTTTTTTTTTTTTTTTTTTTGTGTGTGTGTGTGTGAGGCAAATTCAACCTTTCAGAATGTCACTTGTGGGCAAGAGCAGCATCGGTACTGAGTCACCTGTAGAAATCTTGTAGAGCTGGCCAGGGCATTTCTGTTAAATGTTTGGAGTCTGTACAAGCATTAGCTTTTCAATAATTCAGCCACATCTTGTTGGTAATTACTTTTCTACTGCTTATGAGTTTAGAATAATAACACCTAGTACTACGCTAAATGGATACTATTAACTATCCATTAATTAAGGCAAAATTATAATACAAGTCCCATGGAATTACACATTACGTTAATACGAAATGAGTTCATTCTGAATTTATTATGAATGATTACTCTGAGTACCAAAGGAATTAATAATCATCAGCCATTTCTGTGGAGAGTTGTTGAATAATTGCCAGCTACAGCTGTATTAGGAATTTACAAGCTTTCCTGATCAGCATTAATTCTGAAAGGATCATTTCTTTTCAGGGGAGAGCTTCTACTTTTATTCTGAATCCTTGTTCCTTGTTCAACTGCATTCCAGTTTTAAAAGCACTTCAAAGATAGTCACTCAACCTTGTTCATTCACTAATGGAATTACTTTCCTTATCTCCACTTTGTCTTTAAATTATCTCAGTTGGCTTTATACTACACGTCTGAAAGGTTAATAAACTTTAAAGCATGTTGGGAGACATTCAAGGGCAGGGTGACTCCAACATGACAAAAAGAATGCAAAGGCGTTATATTTATGACTGTGGCAAGTAAATTCTGAAAGTAGAGGTATCCTCGGCCTTTGATTTGGTTCCTGAAAGTTCCTTCTGTTCCTACCAGCATTTGAAGACTCAGCTGTTTTGCATATCAGAAGTAGCTGATTTGGGAGGCAGAGGGAATTAACTACTCTCTTTAGATGAATTTTTCCTTTGGGTATAAGCTTTAATGAGGGTTTTACTTCCCTGAAAACTTACTCATGCTATGTGTCTGCAACAGCCACACAGTTTCAACTCACATGATCCTAATAAATTTAAATGCACTGTTGAGCCTTTCTGCATAACTTCTCATTGTACCTAGTGGCTTGATTCCTTCCCATAGTGCTGTCAATGTGTACTTAGATAGGAGGCTTGCTATGTGCTGGTGTTAGAGAGGTGCCTTAGAGAACCATCAGTTAGATAAGCTTTACTGTGAGTGTTTTGTTGTGCTTTTTGTGTTTTGTTTGTTTGTTTTTATTCTATGAGACAAACTCATTATAAAAAGCCTGTGTGCCTTAAGTCTCACAGAACAAGGTTATACCACTTCCCTTGCAGTCTGTCTGCTGACAGTGGGGCTCCAAATTAGTATGCAAACCCTTGTGTTTTTCTGTGACAGCTGAATCCACTCAGAGGGGTTCATAAATGCTAGTCTGCTACAAATAACATTTGCATATAAAGTTAGATTCATTAAATTGTTTGTGTTGAAGTTGTAGCTTTGCTGTAGGTGAAGCTGAAGAATTCAGGCTGAATTCAGGGAAGCAAGCATTTGGCCTGTGTTCTATAATGTTTAATTAAATCTATATGAAGCAGCCCTGCGTATTATTGATTGCCCAGATAGCAATAAAATGTACTTAAGCAAAAGCTAATAATATATGGTATTTCAGTGTTGCCATAATCCAGTGTTTAGGAAATCATTATCATTTAGAAATATGTCCCAAAATGAAACATGAAGATAATTGCTTTTATAAATACTGATACACTTAACTGAGCTGATTGTCTGATACTGTACTGATACTCTTACTGAACTGATTGTCTGGCTCAGGCAGGAGATTTTGCATTTCAAACAGTCAGAGACCAAGGAGATTGGAGACTGATCTTGGAGCTTCAGCTGTGGCACTGGGCTAGTTAGAAACCCTGGTATGCTTTAACTGAAGTCAGGGGGATTTATGGGGGAGGTAGGGACTTGCTGTAGGACACGCTGATTGGCGTACAGGCCTTGGCCACCAGATATTTGGCCACCAGAGGGCACAGTCCCCTATAGAATAATGGTATTTTCTTTGACCTACATAAAGGGCAGCTGCATCTTCCTCCTGAAAATGATTGATAGTGCCAGGTACCCTGAAGTTAATAACCTTTCTGAAAACTGTTTTTAACTTTTACACCTGGAGCTTTTTATTCTTTTGTCTTTCTCCATTACAGCTCTTACCTCATGCCTTCTTCTTACACCCCTGTATGTGTAGAGGGAACTGCTTCTCATTTTTTCCACTGGTCTCAGTTATAGCTGTTAATTCAGTTGAATTTCAACTCAGTTCTGTTAAGTAGAAACATGACATAAACAAGGATGTTTGCAGCGGTGTGCAGCTACCCACATTGCTGTAGATGGAATGGATTACATACGTAATGATGTATACATGTATGCATACATGTATATATACATGTATACATTTTGGAAAAAAAAAGTGGATAATTTTGGTTTATTTATTGTGGTTAGTGTTGTTGTTGTTGTTTGTTTGTTTAACTAAGTAATTCTGCACCGTTTAGCTAAGTGCCCAGCCGACCAAGGCTGAAGCACTGCTGTAGAGGAATGCAAAAGCAACTTTACAGGCTTACAGCTCTGAAGAGGCAGGAAATTCATGAGTATTGTAAATATAAAGTGTAAGGTCATTAAATGAATGAAGTTTTTAGCTGAAACTGAGAGGAACTTGGATGACTAACATTAACAATTGTGCAAGTAACCATCACCTCAGTAAAGTCAGAAGGCCTCCATACCTTTACTCTTGGAATAAATATTGTCCTGACTCAATATTTGAAAGACTACTCAATGAAATTCTTCATTCTCCAATGCAGTCTTGAATTTCATTACATTTTATAACAAAAAGGCAGGAACTAAAGTAGAGATTTATTTCAGAATGAGTGAGCAGAAAATGGATGCAAATACAAAATGCACATTAGAAATTCCTCTGCACAGATGGGTACAGATGGTATGTTTGCTCCCAACTTGTTCTAAACTGATTTGGATCCCAAGCAGCCAGGCAGAGTAAGCACGGTTATTGACACTGTGCAGTCTTACCTTTATTTTTTATGTGGATGTTTTTAATACATTCTGCAACTCTCATGTACAGCATAGCATTACAACTCCTTGGAGGTGAATAAACTCCTCCTTAGTGTAGCAAGAATGACCCACCCAGCCAAGTAACTATTCATCTGTAATTTCCTGTACTACATGCCAGCACTATGCCCACCACATTCCCACTGCAGACAAGCTCTAAGTGTTGTATAGCTGTGTATATGTCAGCATTTTTATATCACATCACAAGATAATTATCAATATAATTTGATCTTTATAAAGAAAGGGAACATAAAAGCCCAAGTACTGTTCATATAATCTGATTATCTTTTTCCTGTTTCAGAGAGCTGTGCCGTTTTCTTTATCCAGTTTGATCTATCTTCCAAGGCCTGTGTGGTGTTACTGTGCTGATGGCATTGTCCCCTATTAAGTTCTGTGTAAACAGACGAGTTTATGGCTCAAGTTCATTTACCTTCTTTACGGCGTTATGCATGTCTCTCTGAAATGTTGAGAGCCTAGTGCAAGACAGAGGCCTTCGAAACTGAGCTAACCTGAGGATGGTCTCACTGGTCGCCCACTCCCCAAAAGCACAGCGGTGGCAGGACCCTGGTTACCTTTCAGTATGTGGAGCAGACGGAGCCACGTGAAGGAGGCAAGTCTCTTACATAAAGACTTGCACAGCCAGTTGTGCTGAGCAGCAATAAAGATTCTCACAGCCCATCAGTAGAGCAACTGCAGAACTCCGTTGGGTGACTGAAAGTAATTGGCTCTTCAGAGCTCTCACCCTTTGCTTCTAAGGGCTTGTTTATTATAAGAATGTTTAAATTAATGTGCCATGCTTTGGACACAGGATTTATGCATAGACCTAGGATTTCTTACTGACTACATCATCTTTTCACTATACTATAAGCACTGATAGGTCACTTTTTTTTTTTTTTCTTTTTTTTTTTTCAGTTTTCAGCTTGTCCATGTATGGAATGGGGTTGATAATACCTTCCTGTAAATGGAATTTTTGAATTTATGTGAGTGAAATTACTAGGGTTTTTTTTGCCTCTGTAATGGCACAGAGTTTAGCACTGTTGTAGCTTAACTGGTAACTACTTAGCTTTACCCTGGCAATAGGAACAGAGGTCTCTGCGTGTGCAGCCACTTCGTTGTGTTCCATGCTAATGCTATTTTACTTTATGGAGATGAGGCCTGAGGACCTGGGTCTAGCTGATAAAGGAAGTTTCCCTTTCAGTTATCTGCTCCTGCACAAGTTTCAGATTAAGAACTATTCAGAAATAGTTCTAATTAAAAAAAAAAAAAAAAGGAAAATAAGTGTCAAATATGGTGGCAGAAGGGTCAAAATCATTTTACAGGCACTTTAAAATCAGGTCCAAAGGTAATACTGACTGCAAAGCAAGTTTCTCTGTTCCTTTCCTGAATCTTATGAATTTGTAACTGATATAAAAAAACAAGTGTTAAAACACAGGGGCATGAGAGAAAAGTACTTGAATGCTGATCATGGAACAGGGAGAATGTTCGCAGAAGAAAGGTATATATGGCTTTTTACTATTTCAAGTAAGGAGACATCATTTTAATGGCAAGCAGACAGCAGATGGTATGGCTTTTGTGGCGTCACAAACGCTAGCACAATACAGTCAGCCGCTGCACAGCATGGGACAATTAAAAGCTGAGTAAATATCGGGGGAGTGAAGGGTTAGGGGTGGGAAGGCAGTAATTCCTAGGGCATTTGTTCCATTTTTTATTTTACAAATTGACCATGATTTTTTATGCTTCCCTTTTGTTCATTTTCTGCATCTGCATCTGTGCTATAAAACTGCTTTCCCGCCATGAGCACATACCAAAAGCAGTAGTTTTGACAGGACTGCTGTCAACCTCAAAAACACATCTCCATGATAAAGTTTTAGATATTTTTACAAAGATGTAAGATTTTGAAGTTGCTTTCTGCCAGATCTTAGAAGAGGAACTAGGGAGAAAAAAAAAATAAACAATGTAAATTTCCAAGTAATAAACATGAGGCAAGTCCATAGGTATGATCTCTTACAAAACTGACTCAATACATTCTGAAGCTTTTTGTGGTCAGAAAATTATTTTCTATTAGAAGTCTCCTTCTCTCCTGATTCAGACTCTTAACCCACCAGTCAGTTTGTTGTTCTGGAATCCCTCTTATTTTGCCCCTGGAAGGAAACATTTCAAAACTGTAAAGATTTTTCTAAGACAGGTAACGTTTTCTGACTCAAACCTCAGATACTCTGTGTATTCCAATGTTATGACACTGTTAGCACATAAATTCTAGGAAGGCTTTTGTTCAGATTAAAAACTGTTGGACTATATCATCAGCCAGTGGAGCAATGCCAACACACTGTAGCTGGGAATTTCTTACCCTGCTCTTGTATGTGTTCTAAATTACCCCATGGACTCTCACTTTTAGCATATTACAGAAATGAGAGTGCTGATTCTACTTTTTCCAAGTAAGTACATGTATATATTTCTGAAATGTTTGTACTTTATGCAAACATTCGCTAAGCAATTTGAAGCAAGATTTGTCTCCTGATATCTCCTGATGTCTGATATAAGATATGGGAACATGGTGCCATGAGTGCTTCTAATGTACTTTACGTCCAAGTAGTGTAAAAAATTTCATAATTCTTGTCTTCATATGGCGATAATGAAGGATGTGCAGGTGCAGTAATTTACCCAGAACCTTGGCATTGCCCAGGTCCCAGCAGAATAACTTAGGAATCTGGGCAGCCTGTTTCCTATTTTCACATATTAACTAATATAGGATATGCTTCCAAATAAAGCGAGGTTGTGATTGAAGGACGCTGCTTTGAAGATGTTTTCTCCCTGTTTCATCATAAAATATTTTACCATTATTCCATCACCTCTGCAAAATCAGTGGGATCTTTAAGGGAAATATATATCATTTTCTTCAAATATGCAAGAAAGAAAACCCAGCTTTTGCCCTTCATTTCTGCTGATCTCCAGATTACTGTCAAGGATCTTTAATTGAATTATGGCCCTTTTCAGATAGGTCAACGGCATCCATGTTAGTGACTCACATAGATCATAAAAGTATATTTCCTAGGGGCGTGAGTACAGGTGGGCTGAACAGCTTGGGTTGGCTTATAAAAATGAGGGCCTCAGGCCATCTGCACTTACCAATTCTTCTTTGTTTCAGTGGCTATCCTGCACTACCAGCCACATCTCCAGGGCAACATGGCATTCACGGGCAAATACGAATTTGAAAGCGATGAGAACTACGATGACTTTGTGAAGGCAATTGGTAAGTATGTCTCGGTGCGTAAGTCTTGAAGATTATAAATTAGTTAGAAATACTTTTTTAAAAGGTAACTTTTTTATTGAAATATCAAGAGATCAACAGGAAATACCAGTCTTGGTAGGAGTGTTCAGCATTTCAGCAAGAAGATTCAGTTTTCATTCTTATAAGAAGCACTATTAGCCACAGGAAATAGTCCCATTGTACAGAAGCAGTTATTCCTCTTCTGTGGCAGCAGAATGAAGGGCAGAGATGTTTGCAGTATAATAATCATGAAGATCACCTTTTTTGTTCTAAGTATTCATTGGTGGAAGCAAAGTTTTAAGTATGAAAGTACTTGTCAAAATCTTTTACAGTAATAGGTTTCTGTGAACCCTTTCAGAAGACTGTGTAAGCCCATTTCAGAGATAGATCACCCCTGTAAAATCTCTTAGGAACACCATGACCTGCGTGCAAAAGTTCAATGCTTGTGTTCATTTATTTACAAAGTAAATATACTTTACTAAATACAATAGTAAATAGAAATGCCCAGTTGTATAGCAGAGGCAGAAGTTTATAGACATGAAATTCCATGTAACTGCACATGTAGCCCAAGTAGAAAGAAAGATGTGAACGTATTTATATCATGCAGATATATGTTTATTGTGTATCCTTTCTAAGGGAAAAGAAAGCCAGACTAAAACCTATTCTTTTAGCAAATGCATTGATGTCCCTGTACCTTCCTTTATGTAAATAATTTAAACTCAGCTTTGATACTGCTGTAAAACAAACAGCAACAACAACAACAAAATAAAAACACAAATCAGATGTTCAAACATCAATGTCTGACAACAAACACACTATTAGCATGCTTCAATTCCAATACAGATAGGATATTTTATTTGATAAACTGTATTTTTCTATTTCTTAAGGTCTTCCCGGTGAGAAGGTTGAGATGGGAAGGAATTGTAAAATAGTCACTGAGGTGGTGCAGAATGGAAATGACTTCACCTGGACACAGCATTTCCCAGGAGGTCGCACCACAACTAATACATTCACTATTGGCAAGGAAGCAGACATGGAGACAATGGGTGGTAAAAAGTTCAAGGTAAATTAATTTCTCTCGAGTTCTATGCTGTCCCAGTTGCTTTTTGTTTTGTTTTGAATGTAGGGTGAAAATCAAATCTGTCCCAAGGATGCATATTTTTTCCCCATTTCTTGATGACCCTAGTAAAACATCTAAAGCTGATTTTAATGAGCACTAGAGCTTCAACATTGTATTTACTAGTAAAGACCAAGGGCAGAGTGATGAGCATCCTACTGGTGTTGTAGCTGAAGCAATCATAATGTTAATTAAAATTCTAACAAGCTGGTTGACAGCTGTCTTTATTGTCCAGCACCATGCAGCAACTGGAGCACACTCTATGAGGAGTGCTGTGATCCTTAGCTCTGCCTGTGCCTGACAGCAGTGCTTCCCTTTTAAAGTCACCTGTGCTGAGCCTTAAACAAAGGACTGCATAAAGTGAAGGGGAAAAAAACACCTCTCTATTCTCCGTACTATTGGAAGTACAGAGCAACTTGCAACATGAACAGTCTTTAGTGATAAGGGAGACTGTGCAACCTTGAGCTGATCCTATCATGGACAAAAAAAATCTTGATACAGAACCTGCTGTAAAACAGTTCTTTTATTACCTTATTCACGTCTCTTCCGTTAGAAGGGATAGTTTGGGACAACTAAACTCAGCAGTTGTGAGGTGTCCGGAACCATACAACAGATTCCTGGATAAATGCTTTATATTGAAGAGACATGAAAACCAGCAATTTTTTTCAGGGACCTGTGACAAAATGAGTACAGTAATAGTATTGCATGATTTCCAGAATGCTGTATCAGTCATACCTTTCTGATTCTGAGAGAAAAAAAAATAAATGTCATTGCCTTTGAGAAACCTTTATGAAGTGTATGGAAGAAAACATAATTCTATTTGGTCAATTTATTGCAAACTTCACAATTTTGAAATATTATAAATTTTATCTTCTTCTTGAGCACTTTGGCATCCCAAATCCTATTAAGTAGCCAAAGATGAATGCAGGGTAAACGACTCAGCAGAGAAACCACTGCCTTTCAGCACAGAGTCACTAACCAATATATAAATTAGTAAGGCTTTCCTTGTATCTGATAAAACACAATTATTAAAAAAAAAAAAGTTTCCTCTTCACTTTGCACGTTACTTTTTTGCTTTCTAAATATGACTGGCTGATCTGTCTTTATTACTAAAAGCACAGGAAAGGCTGACTAGTTATAGAGGCAAGACTAACTTTCTGATGGAACTGCATAGCTAGTTCTGCACAGCTAGTTTTGGTAGTCAGATGAAATGCTGGAGCATTTGTAATCTTCATATTAACATCCTGGCATGCTCCTCCCATACAGAAGTAGCTCTTAGAATAGAGTAGTTCACTTGGAAGGGACCTTCAAAGATTATCAAGTGCAACTGCCTCAGCACTTCAGGGCTAACCAAAAGTTAAAGCATCAAGGGCATTGTCTAAATACATCTTAACCATGGACAGGCATGGGGCATCAACCACCTTGCTAGGAAGCTTGTTTCAGTGTTTGACCACCCTCATGATAAATAATTTATTCCTAATGTTCAGTCCAAACTTACCCTGTCACAACTTTTGTGCCATTCCCTTGTGTTCTGCCATCAGTTACCAGGGAGAAGAGACCAGCACATCCTTCTCCATTTCCCTTCCTCAGGAACTTGCTGAAAGTATAGCAACTGACACGTTACAGTATAAAGGTGTGACTGCAGACTGTACAGTCATCTTCATCTATACTTAAATGATATAGGTGAACTCTAGTGTAGTTAAAGGCATGAAACTCAGGATCCAGGGTGAAGATTAACATCACTAGCCCACAGTGACTTTTGTGCTGCTTGCAGGCAGGTTATCAGTATATGAAAACACTACTTTAAAAATAACTCATACAATTTCACTTTTTACTGACAAAACAGAAGAACCACGTAAAATGTTGACTGAGAACACAGTCTGCAGTAAGACTATCTTTAGAGCTATGAGTGAACATTATTTATGATTTATTGTGTAAATATGGAACTTGAATGTATTGTTACTTGAATATTTTTCTATTTAATAAATTATGGATGCTTATATTTAGGAACTAAAGCACAAGGATTTTAGTCTTTATCATTAAGCTGTTTATATAATAGACAAGTTTTACTTTTATTAAAGGAAAAACTTTAACCATCAGGTGCACAGACGCTTACAGTGTCTGATAAAATAAATGCCAATAGGCCCAGAGAATATTAAACTTCTCTCTATTACAGGCAACTGTTAAAATGGAAGGGGGAAAAGTAGTAGCTGATTTTCCCAACTATCATCACACTGCAGAGATTGCTGGAGGAAAACTAGTGGAGGTGAGTTCTCAACTTTTTTTTTTAACAAAATAATCTAGGTAAGATCTACAGCATCAAAATTTTGAGTTCAGAAAAAAAAAATAGAAGAAATACAGCAAAGCTGTTAATGAACTTTCCCTTTCAGTCTAGATCATCTAAAGTTTTACGCAGGCTTAATTGAAAATTAGATGAACAAAAATTACATATTTTTAATAAACTTGTAATATGTTTTGTTTCCTAGACACAGTGTTCCAGCTGTAAAACACTGGAGTGTTGAACTTGAGCTATTCCTGAGTTACTGTGTTTTTGACCATATTTATTTAGTAAAACTTGTAAAAGATAGACTTTTTGAGAATCAGAAATCATAATGCTTGATAACTCTTCCGGAATTGTGACTTGTATTTGTGTCAACTACATATGCCTGAGTACGTTTTCAGTAGCTGCTATCCACAAGTAAATTACTGTCTGAGTCAGGAAAGGACTCTCACCATCCTTGAAAGAAATACTGTCAATCATTTACTGCTTTTGGAGAATAATCATCTGTCTTAAAACCCAATACTAACTTGGAGTTGGTGATTGCTAAGTCTAGCAACACAATGTGTTTCTGAGTAGATTAAACCATTCAGCTTATTTTTCAGATATGTTCTACTAAAGGGTACATGTGCTTCAGTAAAGGATGGGTTCTGTGAGCCAGCTAACAGGGATTTTCATTTATGACATTGAAGCTTTAACTGGTCTGTTCAACCAAATTTTTGGTTTGTTTATTCCAGCTCTCTACTGCTTCTGGTGTAACCTACAAGAGAACCAGCAAAAAGATTGCTTAAGGCATTAAAGCACATTTTCCAGTGTACTGAAAAATATGCAACAATACAATTAAATAAAATACACTTCTGACCTATTTTGCTCTCTCTTTTCTTTATAAAGATGAACGATTGTTTTTCAGAGTAACATTATTCCCAGTAACATTATCCCATAATTCCTGAAGATCTGAGAAATAATCCTCATAAAAAGCACAAGACACAACAAGGACTTAGTGATGCTGCTCCAGTATAAATATTTCAGGATATAATACATACTTGGCATATTCAAATGTTGTCTATCACATACTTAATAGTTCTATTCTGCTGTCTAGAAAACAGGACAGTATTTTGCCCAAAGCTTACATCATATTGTTGGTTGGAAGACAGAAATGTAGGAGATTTAAAAGAAATTTCATTGAAAGATGTGCTTTCATATTGTTCTTGGAGTTACTTCATTAACATCAGTATCTTTTCTTTATCCACACTCTTGGAGGACATTTAAGGCTTTCCAGACAGACTGTTGTGGAAAACTGTGGAATCATTCTTCTTCAATGTAATGCTGCTTATTTACAAAGAACATGTGAAAACCCATTTTACTGACCACATAAGGAATTAGATATAACAGGTTTTGGATTCACCATTCCAAATCACTTCTGGCCAACACCTGGTCCACAAAGATTTCATTTTTTAGACTTCCACTATAAAGTTCTTTTTTGAGCTCATACTAGAGCTATGGGATGGTGGTGTTTTGTCTGAACAATTCACACCCATATGAATCAGCTCTGAAGGTGCCAATGCTGGTACCTGGTCATTACCTGCTTTGAAAACAGAGTGAAAGCAGGCAACATTGACTTCAGTTCTAGAAGTGAGTACACTTGGCGCTGCACCACTGTCACATTTTGGTTTTGCATTCTGCACATGATCAGGTAACTCCCTATTAGACACCATGGGACGGGCCTTGAGAGGAAGGGTGTAATTTATCTAGGTTCTCTGGAGAGCACATAGAGATGTTTTCTCAGGGGGAAGAAAGCATTGCTGCCTTTTCAAAAGGAGGACATTCTTTAAACCTGTTTTGAAATGGCAGCACAGAAAACAAAATAAACATGCCTTAGAAAAAAAAAAAGTTACTAAGAATCCCTCTCTGTCTGGAACACACTTGCTAGCACCTCGACTTCTCAAAAAAATAACACGAAGCTAAATTATATTAAGCAACATCTGGCCACTTTACTGAGTAGCCAGTTATACTGTTCAGAGAGCATTATATCACCTTTAAATTGTTCACTACAGTCTGTAAAACTTGCCATGGCTTTGACAGTTCTGCAAACACAAAACTGTGTCTTTCTAACAAAAATTGAAATTGTATATTTCATTCCTCATTTAAAACAGCAGCATAGCAGCAAGCTGCAGCTGTAAGATTTAAGTATGTTCATTTTAACCCTTAATGCCTGAATAAATATTAGCAGACTTTTTTCCCCACCTGCATCCTTGCAGAGAACCTTGTCAGGACTCACAAATACATGATGAAAGATGTCATCTTTCTTATTTGCTTGGTTAGTTCTGCATCCTCCTCCCATGCAGGGAGGAGGTTACTAGTGCTATATCCCATTCTGGCAATTTAAGCTTAGCACTTTCTATTCCCCAGCCACGTTTCTCTGTGAACTAACTTGTAAAAGTCTGCCTGCAAAGTTCGAGTTAATCAGACTGAAAAAAATTCTGATCTATGACTGACTACACAGCAACTGACAGCATCAAACAGCATAGTCATGGGGTGGAAATTTTTGTATCAATTTGTTTAAAAATGAATTCAGCTTTGAATGCACCTCTGCAGCTCTCTGCAAAAATAGTTTGCAAAAAAAAAAGGCTTTACAAGAGTGTCTTTAGGTTGTCTGAACTGTTCTACATTCTCTCTTAGTTTTCACAAAAGAAAACAAAAGTGACAGTCAGTTAAAAGAAAAATGTTATCTGGAAACTGAGTGAGTGGAACTCCCACTCACATTTAAAGAATTCTGGAGAGAACAGTTAATACGAACAGTATGAGACCAACTCTAAATTCTGAAATATTTCCCATCCCTTTCAGAGTCTGCTGTTGGACTTAATCTGCCTCAACTCCACCCATGATACAAAGGCACAAACACAAACTGGGGAAGTCAGTGGTCAATTCACATTTAAAATAGAGTCAATGGAAGAAAGACTGAATGTGCAACCATTTGGCTTTTCAGTTTTCGTAGGTAAGCTTGCACCTGGTCCCAAGAAATGATTATTCCAGCTCATATATCCTATCTTGTTTGTTTCTTCAGCCATCTCCTCAGCCCACTTGGTACATACACTAACATACACTAACATTTCAGACTTTGAATAACAGCTCACTTCCTGTGCAATGACGAAGTTCCCAATCTATCTAGTCCTTTCAATTTATAGTTTGAAAAGGACCTTCCACCACATTTGTCCTACCACTGTTCTGTAAAACATTATGAGTATTCAGATCAATTTTTAAGGTATAGACATGTATTTTTTGTTATCTCTTAAAAGCTTAAGAGAAAATACTAAAAAATGAAGGGCACTTCAGGTATATGCTTGTTTATCGTAAGCTTTCACTGAAAACTTTGCAAGTATTTTCACAATTAAGCATGATGGCAGTCCAAAATATAACAGCACACGTGACCTGAATTAGAAGGGTGATAAAGCAAAGAAAACACATACAACTGTACTGCCAGATATATGTTGTTTGTTAATGACAAATTGTAACAAAAAATACATTAGTCTTCTAAAAATAAAGTTTAATACAAATACAAATCCAACAGAATAGAAGATGAACCAAGTTATCTAAGCTTCTAGAGCCATTTCTGAATAGTACTGCTTCTCCATTTACGATTGTTTTGTTTTTTTTTGTTGTTGTTGTTTTTTTTTTAAATACGTAACGATTCCTCTAGCCTGATCAATGCAGGAAGTTATTAACCCGATACCAAACACTGCATTCTCAGAAGACAATTAAACACACATTAGCATGCAGGCTAATCTTTTCCCCTCCACCCTAAAACACCCTTTAAAAACAATTCTCTAAAAATATAATTTAAAACAGCACTGACACATGACTTTGAAAAATTGTTCCATGTCAGTAAAAGCATATTGCACATTACCTGTACTGCTGTCCTGAGAGCCTTAAGAAAAAAAGACAAACCAACAGTACTGCCTTCAAAGAAACACATGACAGTGGTTGCAAATCAAAACTAAAGTTTCACATTTGCAGAAGTCTGTTTCTTGTAAATATCTACATTTCAGTTAAAGAGAGAAAAAAAAAAGCCTATACAATCTTTGAAGACGACATCTCTGGTCCCAGCTGAAAAGGAAACCTTTGGATATTTGACAATAGATGAGTCTCAATGTAAAGAAACAACATGTAATTTACCAGCTACATTTTCAAGAGAGTGACAAGATTGTATTAAAAAAAAAAAAAAAAAAAAAAAAAGCATTGTCTAGTACTGCAATTAAACTCTAATTTCATAGTAAAGTTAGCCAGTTCCCTATCTCAGTCCCCATTACCACCTGTTCCTCTGTCCTGAGCTTGAACTACTGCCACAAATCATTGGCCCAAAAGATGAAATAACTAAAGGCAATGAAGCTTCTTCCAATAGTTTTTCCAAGAGGATTTCATCAAGTAACATTAAATCCCTGATAAAGCTTGTAAACAATTTTACTAACAATCATCTCCAGTCTCAAAAAGCAGCAGCATGTTAAAGAGATTTTTTTATTTTTTTTAATAAAGGCATACAAAGCAGTGTTCTGTTCAGTAGAACGACATCTAGATTCCAAGAGAAATTTATGTCAAGAATTATTTGATAGTCTTCCAGCCTTTTTTTTTCTTTTTCTATAAAGCATGAACTCTCACTAGTTCATTCCTGAACTATCACTCCAGGTCAAAGAAAATGGAAAGCGACACATCAGTTTCTGCATTCAAATGCTTTGTTTGCATTCTGCAAACAAAGAGCATTCACATTTAAGTGATAACCATTTCAGTATACATTTAGTAGAAGCTTCCACTGTTCAAAAGAGATGTCCCTAGGAGAGGGAGAGAGAGAACACTCCATGTTTTCAACAACATTCTCTAAGTACACTGCTACTTAGCCAACAAACAATTCCAGCCTGAAATAACACTTCGACATGAGCTTTCATCCAACTCTGAGTCACTAAATCTGAGTCAACAGATTTCAGCCAACTCTGAGTCACTTATTGCTCTCCATAGGTATATTAAGGGAGGCTGTCGCAAGGTGGGGATTGGTCTATTCTCCTGTGTGCCTGGCGACAGGACGAGGGGGAACAGGCTAAAGTTGCACCAGGGGAGGTTTAGGTTGGATATTAGGAAGAACTTTTTTACTGAAAGAGGTGTTAGACATTGGAATGGTCTGCCCAGGGAAGTGGTGGAGTCACCATCCCTGGAGGTCTTTAAAAGACATTTAGATATAGAGCTTAGTGATATGGTTTAGTGGAGGAGTTGTTAGTGTTAGGTCAGAGGTTGGACTAGGTGATCTTGGAGGTCTCTCCCAACCTAGACAACTCGGTGATTCTGTAAATGAAGCCTAGATGGTAGTAACATTCACGGGGTTTCTATTCACATCCCTTTCAAGGTGATTAAATGAGATATATTACTGCATTTCTGTTTCTTGCTCATTATGAGAGAAAGGTACAATCCTTGGCAGGTTCCAGTGATCAGTGGATCCACACTGATGTCCTGTGGATGAGCAAGTCATAAAGATTCTGTTCCTTCATTGTTCTCTTTCAGATAGGCATCATGGATCACACACAGTGTCTTTTCTTCAGCTTTTATTCATATCACGTTTTCCCCCCACCAATATATAGAATCATAGAATATCCCGAGTTGGAAGGGACCCATAAGGATCATCAAGTCCAACTCCTGGCACCACACAGGTCTACCCAGAAGTTTAGACCATGTGACTAAGTGCACAGTCCAATCTCTTCTTAAATTCAGACAGGCTCGGTGCAGTGACTACATCCCTGCGGAGCCTGTTCCAATGCGCAACCACTCGCTCAGTGAAGGACCTCTTCCTGCTGTCCAGCCTAAACTTCCCCTGCCTCAGCTTAACAGCGTTCCCGCGGGTCCTATCACTGGTGATTACAGAGAATAGGTCACCTGCCTTTCCACTCCCCCTCAGGAGGAAGTTGTAGACTGTGATGAGGTCTCCCCTCAGCCTCCTCTTCCCTAGGCTGAACAGGCCCTATGACCTCAGCCACTCCTCATACGTCTTCCCCTCTAGGCCCTTCACCATCTTTGTCGCCCTCCTCTGGACACTCTCCAACAGTTCAATGTCCTTCTTGTACCGTGGTGCCCAGAACTGCACACAGTACTCAAGGTGAGGCCGCACCAGCACAGAGCAGAGCAGGACAATCACCTCCCTCAACTGCCTAGCGATGCTGTTGCTTGATGCACCCCAGGATACGGTTGGCCTTCCTGGCTGCCAGGGCACACAGCTGGCTCATATTCAACTTGCTGTCAACCACAACCCCCAGTTTCCTTTCTGCAGGGCTGCTCTCCAGCGTCTCGTCGCCCAGTCTGTACGTAAAGGCAGGGTTGCCCCATCCCAGGTGCAGGACCTGGCACTTGCTTTTGTTAAACTTCATGCAGTTGGTGATCACCCAGCTCTCCAATCTGTCCAGGTCTCTCTGCAAGGCCTTTCCTTGGACCCTCGGAGTCCACAACTCCTCCACGTTTGGTGTCATTGGTAAATTTGCTCAAAACACCTTCTAGTCCTACATCCAAATCATTTACATTGAAGAGGACTGGCCCTAAAATGGAGCCTTGAGGGACCCCACTAGTGACCATCCGCCAGCCAGATGTGGCCCCACTTACCGCAACCCTTTGAGCCCTGCCCATCAGCCAATTGCTCACCCATCATATGATGTTTTTGCTAAGTTTTATGCTGGACATTTTGTCCAGTAGGATCCTATGGGAAACCGTGTCAAAAGCCTTGTTGAAGTCCAAAAAGATCACATCATCTGGTTTCCCTTGGTCAACTAGATGGGTTTCCTTATTATAAAAGGAAATCAAATTTGTTAGGCAGCACCTACCCCTCGTGAACCCATGTTGGCTGGGACCAGTGACTGCAATGTCCCCCAGGTGCACCTCAATAACTTCAAGGATCATCTTCTCCATATTTTTACCAAGCACTTACATGAGACTGACAGGCCTGTAATTGCTAGGGTCTTCTTCCTTACCCTTCTTGAAAATAGGCACAACATCTGCCAGCTTCCAGTCTACTGGGACCTCTCCAGATTCCCAAGACCATTGATAAATAATTGAGAGAGGTCCTGTGATGACATCAGCCAGCTCTTTAAGCACCCTGGGATGGATCCCATCTGGACCCATGGACTTGTATGAATCGAGGTGGAGCAGCAAGTCCTGCACACATTCAGGGTTGGTTGGGAGTTTGTCATTTCCACCATCATGGTCCTCCAGCTCAGATACTCATCCATCAAAACACCCAGCTGCATATGAGTGATAACCTGTAAAATAACCGCTACCACAAACCATGGAACTGCAGTGGCTGGGCTCTGTTCCTAAGGTCACCTGTATAGCAAGAGGCTTTTGGATGTGCAGAGTCTGAGCAGACAGCTGAAGGCTGGCCTGAAAAGCAGCACAGGAGTGCAATGAGCTGTCAGCACTCCCAGCAAGCAGACCACTAGGCCTGTGCACCTGTAAGGAGTTACGGTAAGTAGAGCATAAATCTTACACTGGCAACTGGCAAGAGTAGCCGAATGCTGAGCTAAAGGTTAGTAACTAGGTTGCTGAAATAGAACCTGAGTATTGGCTTGATGGCTCAGATTTTCCATTCCTTCTTGTTGTTGATGTTGGATTGTTACTTGCTTCTTTATGTTATTGATTTCTTTGTCATTCTCAAAATATCTGAAACAAATTGGAAGTTAGATTTATTGACAAGGTAAGTTCACAGAGCTTGTCTATATCCCAAAGTTTTCACCGGTCAAGCAACATCAGCTTTTTGGCCACAGATATATACAATAAATGAACTGTGAACAGTTCACTTCCAATTATCCTGGTGGGATCTTCACATCCTAACAACATGTGTTGTGAATAATTTTTCATCCCAAGTATGTTCTACTGATGGATTGATTAGGGAAGATTACAGAATCTTGAAGTCCACAACCATCTTAACATAATTTATGTAGGTATTTGTGGAATATTAATGTGTGTAGCTAAGAGGAACAAGGGTAATTCCTGTAAGATACTAAGAAGAAACATTCACATTTTTGATAATCATTTGGATGATCAGTCACCGAAACCTCTTACCTTGCACTGAGAAATCAAGGAGTAATATTTCTCCATGAAAGTTTTGACTTCTGTCACTGAGTTGGTTGGCCAGCCGTCACAAAGGTCATTCTCACCAATGGACACATCGAGGTAGTAGCCAATGTAGTGCGGTGGTGTGGGTAGACAAAGATTCCAGCTGAAGTTTTCCAAAAGCAGCATTTCCATTCTAAGCAATTTTTTCTTACTCAATACCACGTTCACATTGCACATGTATGCTAGGTTATTTAAGTGCTCCAACTTTGGAACTTTATCTTCTTTTTCTTCAAATTTACCTATCAAAAGAGAGAGTTTTCAGAAAAGACTTACTGTTATGATTGAGTACTCAAAAGCCAAAGAGCACTCCCCCAGACAGAAAGTCTAACAGTAAAAGGTGCTTTAATAAATTTAAAAAATATATATTAAAAAAAGAGGGATAAAAAAAATTAAACATAAGTTTTTTAAAAGCAAGAGGGATAGATAAGTGAAGTGACATGAGTAGAAAAAGGTCAACAGTGGTCAATATCTTCCTATATCCTTTTTATTTATTTTTTTTTGGCTTATATAGTGTTGATCCCAAAACCAAGATTAATTCATTAGGATGAATAGCAGAGCTGAAACAGCACAAGAAATTCATAAGACTCATAACTGTAGTGTTATGGATCTTAGTAAGTTTACAGAATTAGTTCTTAGAAAACAGGTACAGTTTTGAAACTGAGTAGCCCAAATTTATTTCCCATTAAAATGTTCATCTGCTTTTTGCTTATTAAAGATTACATGTTCCAACTATATGTAGTTTCTGTGAATGTCCACCGTAAGAGGGAAACTCTTTAAGAAGTAGAAAGCATTTTAGTGTGGAAATCTTTGAGACTTAAGTTGTAATCTTCTGATTTTCCTTATTCTTGATGAGTAAATTCATATTAATTCTTTCTGAGACGGCTGCTGTGTCATTTCCGGTCATTTGCAAAGGAGACATTTTTCCTGCTATAACATAAGCTCCTTTAACAACATCTCAGGTTGATTGTGAGATGGCCAGAAGCAAGCCATTAGATTGCCCTGCCTTTCCCTTACATTATCTCTAGAATAGAATTGACACTGCCCTGCCAAATGCCACGTTAGTGCACTAGAGTGGCGTGCAGCAACAGATTTGCAGAATTAGTAATTTGATGTTTCAGCCGGCTCACAACAGCAAGGCCACCCATTCCCAGCAAAGCAGAGATACTGCTTGGCTTCTCTCAGCCTCTACATAAATTGTAATCCACAGTAGGAGAAGCCGTTTCTGTCTTTTCACTTTAGGCACAAACAAGCTTATGGATCTCTACTTACCTGGAGAGAGAACCAGACTCTGCTATGCTACAAGAAATTATAAATTATGAAAATATGCCCGAAACAGAATGCAATGAGCAGCTTTCGATACTAAATTATAGAAGTACGTTAGTTTCTACCCTTGTTTCACAATGCTGTTAAAGAGGCCTTCATACCAAGGTAACCTGGGTGCCACATTCCCCTTATGCATTCCTCCATTAAAATTACTTGGGGGACAAGGGTGACATAAAAGTTACTGTCCCTTCTTCTCAAGCTGCCCACTGAATGCCATTTTAAAACTAAAACAAAAACACCAGTAATCTCAAATCCCAGTTACTTGCTTACAATAGCAATTCTGTCAAAGCATCTCTCCTCCTCAAGTCGCTTTTGAAGCCAGTTTTTTTTGACAATAACTGGAAGCGGTTTGCTGAAAGGCATTCTGTCAAGTACGAAGAAGACAGTGTGGGGAAAATAGAGCAAGGAAGATCTAATAGTGAGCAAAAAAAGCTCCTTTGGGTATGAATACTGTCCTTTGGGTATGGAAGCTAAATGCACACACTACAAAAAGGAAGACATTAAAAACCCTCTGGCAACACCACCTTTGCCCTTGCTGCTTCAGAATTTCTCTTTGTTCCTTCTTGTCTTGGAGGGCCTCATTAGCTAGAGTCACTGAAAGGCTAAGAGAAGTACACTCTAACTAAGTGATTAACATAAATAATTCATATGGGATTAGCAGAGAACATATATTTTCAGAGTCAAGATAGCTGAACAAAGCTGCACCTTTTTCTAAATTGCATTTCCAGCCTATTGAGACCACAGCAGTCTCTAAAATGACTCAGTTTTTCACAAGCAGCTAAAGTATTGTCACTGTGTACAGAAAAACAGGATCTCACTCTATTTACCCTTCTTTAAAAATCTATTTATGTGTGTGTGTATCCATAGTAGATCTGATGCCCCTAGGATTGTACCTATCAGTAATAAAGCAAGGTGTTACTTTGCTGCAAACATAAGAAAGCACATCTTTTAAAATACTCACTGTTACCAAGCCAAAAATGACATATCTCCAGCCCTGCTTTGTTCAAAAACTAGCAAGAAGCAATTGTCACTTTCCAGTACCAATTAAGTAACATCCTTGCTGCAAAATCCAAACCCATTCTTTAAATAGCAATGCACCTAAATAAGTATTTTGGAGTTATTTCTCTTTGTTCCTGGAAGCATTCCACAAATGACTGTTGCTTCAGTGATCCTCCCATTGCCTATACAAGAGTCCTCTTTTACTAAGACAGATTAATTGATGAGATATTAGCATGACATATGGCTTCAGAATATTCTTGTCAAATCTAAAACCAATTAAAACCAGTATTGTACCAGAAAGTTACATTAAAAGATCTTGATATCCATTTAGGATAACAATTCTATCCAACAAAACGTCTCCAGTGTCTTAAAAGCCTGACAATTTTCTGTACTATTAGCAGTTTAACTATTTTTTTCAACACTTAAAAATGTATTTCTATCTTTGAGCCTGCTCAGATATCATAGATATGGAATGCATTAAAAGTGTAATAGACTCCACCACAGAAGGCCTTAACAGTAACAATTAAATATAAAATTCATCCATTATATGGAATAAACAGTTCTTTCCTGTTCTATCAGTGGAGAAAAAAAAAAAAAAAAACTTTAAAATTTAGAAGTATGTATACACACATTCGTGAATCCCTTTGGTAAACCTGAATTTAGAACTATTTAATAAAAATTAAAATTGAGAAGTTAACCCTGATACAGAAGTTTAAGGATCATGGTAGCAGAAGTAGGAGAAACTGCTTTATGCCGAGGAAACCAAGGATCTGTTATTCTGACTTCTGTAAGTTACAGTTCCTTCTTACTTCCCACTAAACCTTGGAAATTTCAAGATGTCAGACTAGTCTGGAGAACAGAGAGAGCTGACTATCAGCATAGTAGCATTGGAAAGCTACGATACTGACACAGGGGAAAGCTGTTTAAAAGCAAAATGAATTTGGTCAAGTCAAAGTTAAAATTAATGGACAACAGTAAATTTAGTGATTTAGATCTTTTTTTTTCCCCTCCTGCTTTTCAACACTAGTTCTTAGTTTTAATGTTAGATAACAGCAGCCACTGCAGCATCACTGCTGTCAAGCGTACCCTGAAGTATCAATTCATCCACTGTAGGAGGTAAAAGTCACTAGGTACCCCAGGGTCCTTGAGAAAGCCAAGCAACAAAAAAAGGACTGCCAATTTAAGGAGAAATTAAAATGCAAGTATTCTTTGTCCCATAAACAATTAAAATCGATCCCAAAAAAAGGATAGACAGGTCAAGCCCAACATAAAATCCAGACCTGTGGCTACTGACACAGTTTTTTATTGTTATTATTATTCCTATCTCGGTCCAGAAGTCACCACAACAAACTTCTGACGCTCTCTCCCATGCCACTCCTAGACAAATACAGTTTCTAATGGTCCTCTAAGCAAGAGAGGAAAGAGGCAGGCTGTTTAGAGATACCATGTTGAATTCCTTTTTCTGTAGTGTCCTGCAAAGCCAGCAGTCATGGATTATTCAATGGTCTGTACAATACCTAGCACACATGCAAACCACAGTGCTTACTGTACCTGAGTTTCTAATACCTTACTAGTAAAGTTTAATATATAAGAAAATATTCTGCCCATGTTATATCACCAGGTAAATGAAAGATGTATAACTTTATAAGCAAGTTTTATAAGCACAACTCCATATCCTGGACCGACACACACTATTGTCTTGCTCAGCTGCCTTTGTCAGAAGAGCTACCTGCTCATGAAAGCAGGACAGTAAATGAAGAATGGATCACAAAGCACAGGCCAATGGGAAAACTGACTGCTGATGGTTTTACACAGGCAACAGGGAATTAGGTAATAAACAATTATCCATGCCCTAAATTCAGCTCAGTTAGGACTAACATCTTTTCTTGCTCTAATTTCTTTATTGTACTAACTCAGCTATTAAGAATCCACTGGCATATTAAGGAATTGGGCAAAATAAAGACAACCACAAGAAAATTAACACAGTGCTCTGTAAAGCAATGCAGCACTGGATGTGTTAAAGTTTTGCTTACAACAATACTTAAATGTAAAAACTGTTAGTGTGTCTCTGTAGCAGCAGAACCCTCGAGCAAGAGGGGCCTGTAAGAAATAGAATTGCTGGAACATTCAATGCACTTGAATGGCTCAGAGAGAGCAAGCTGGTGCTTTTATCAGCTGCTGAAGCACCTGCTAATGAAGAGGGTTAGCTCATCAGGGAAGAAAGAAGCATCTTTAAGATGCAGCTATGATTTTACAGCAACAGGCAAAAGATGTACTGCTTGAACTATAGTTATACACCATAACATTGCAACAACAACCAACTCACAGGAGAAACAGTTGTGGTGGTTTAAAACATACTGCCCAGGTGCTTGCTGTCTCCCCAGAGTGTACTTCTCCTGCAGCTGGACCAGCTGAACAGTTTGTATCAGCACATCTCATCTACTTTGGGGCAGCTGGTTTGAACAGCTTTCAGCAGGCAATTTAAGGCAAGCAGCACTACAGCAGATGGGACATCCTTACACAATCTTTATCCAACAGAGCTAGAGCACCTTAAAAATATCACGCCCATTTTCTGTAATAAATTGCCTGATTAAGATGCAGTCTGTAGCATTACAACCTGCTGCTGCTCAGCAGTGCCCCTCTGCAAGGGACTGCCTTCCCCCATCTGCTGGGGACATGGGATAAGATATGAGTTCCTCAATTCTCTCCAGCCAAAATGTTACTTAACATTTACTTAAACATGTAACTTATTTAAAATCAATCCACTTACAGAAACTATTTAAATGCCAGCTGATTTTGTCTGGAGAAAACCAGAGATTACTCAAAACACTGGTGGGAGAGGTGGAGAGTACACTACAGGTAGGCAAGGAAAGTAATAACACTTTTCAGCCATCTTATCTGTTTCCGAATTGAGCAT